CCATGTATGTTATGATATGTACAAGATCAGATGTTTCTTATGCACTAAGTGTTACTAGCAGATACCAGAGTGATCCAGGAGTGGCTCACTGGATGGCAGTTAAGAATATTCTTAAGTACCTCAGAAGAACAAAGGACATGCTCCTTGTTTATGGATGAGATGAAGAACTCGTTATAAATGGTTACACTGATGCTAGCTTCATGACTGATGTAGATGATTATAAATCTCAATCAGGTTATGCTTTCACACTTAATGGTGGTGCGGTTGTTTGGAAGAGTTTCAAACAAAACATTGTTGCGGATTCTACGACAGAAGCAGAGTATATTGCGGCTTTGGAAGCTTCAAAGGAGGCGTTCTGGATCAAGAAGTTTCTTGAAGAAATTGGTGGTGTCCTAAGTGTGATGAATCGGATGGCTCTCTATCATGACAATAATGGAGCTGTTGCTCAAGCAAAGGAACCAAGATCACACATGAAGACCAGACACGTTGAACACAAGTATCACATCGTCTGACAATACGTTGAGAAGGGCTATGAGAAGATTTTCAAGATTCTCATGGATTTGAATGTGTCAGACCTAATGAAAAAGGCTCTACCATGAGCAAAGCATGAGAAACACCGGTAAGCCATAGGTGTTAAAGTGACTATGTAAACTAGATTACTGACTCTAGTGTAAGTGGGAGACCGGTGCAAATATTCCCTAGAGGCAATATTATTTGTATTATTATATTTCCATTTTCATAATTAAAGAGTTTATATTCTATGCTATAACTACTATGATCCTGGAATATGCGATTTAGTGGAAAACTCATATGCACGTGTGGAATGATAAACGGTAAAAAAGGTTCCTAGTCTTGCCTTTTGGAATAGCTCAGGTGTTGTTGATGATCATGTTTTCCGGATCTTAGGATATCGTTAAGTGTAACGGTAGGGCTAAAACAACATTGAGATTAAGATGTTGGAAGAACGATCATATTGAATCGACCCAAACTTGTTTGTTGTGAATTGGATTAATATCGTCTGTATTCAACTGAATAACACAGAGTGTTAATGTGTGATCTTGCTCCTTAGACCATGAGAGTATCATGGTCACTTCTTACCTGTGGTGGGCTTTGTGGTTGCTCAAACATCGCCTGTAACATGGTGATCATACTGATAACTTGCATATTCATCGGAAAGTTTGACAAGTGGCCGGATAGCTCGAGAGTGGGATTTGATCCTCCGACGATGGAGACATATTCTTAGGACCTCTCGATGTGACGGCATCGATCATCGTCTGGCCAAACACAGGTGACTTTGTCACATGGATGCCGGAACACAATAACGAGAAAGAAGAACAAAACCGGTAATGAGCATTTCAATATAGTGAGGATGGTGATGACTCAAGAGGATACCGATGCATCCCGGGTTTTGTGAAGTATTGCGAAGCAAAGAGAACATCACATGATAACCAAAGGTTCTCTTGAATATCATTTCTGTGCTCATCGGGATCGACATGGACGTCCATGGTTCCGTTGTCGGTCATTGAAAGGACAGTTTTGTTCAATGTCTATGGGTTACCGAATCTACGGGGTCACAAGCTTAGGGAAATCATGATCTGCTGAGTGTTAGTAGGACATGAGTGATGTGAATATATTTGTGGTATTGCTTCATTCATATTCAGAATAGTTCCGAGTGGATACGACAGTGTTTCGGGGTCACCGGAAAGGTTTCGATGAATATCAGGTGATACCGGTTATTTCCGATAAATAATATATATGTGGAAAATGTTTTAGGGGATGTTAAATTATATATAAAATGGTCTGAAACTATTTAGAACATTTATATATTTAGTTTAATATCAACGGGACTAAAAAGGCGAAGAGGTGGAAGACAACTTGGGCCAAAAAGGCCCAAGTGGAAAAATGCCTCGGAGGCCGAATTGGGAAAGGGGAGGAGTCAGACTCCTCCCCCCTGGCTGGCGCACCAAGGGGGAAACTTTCCACCTTCATGGAAGCCCTCCCTCTCCCCTCTATCCTATATATACATGAGGATTTGTGCTCTTTTAGATATACAAGTTTTGGAGGCTACTCTAGTTCTAGTTGGTCCTAGTTGAATAATTATGCTAGGCTAATCCTTTTGTCCTCATAATTAGAAGACCTGAGCGGTTCTAATCTCCTCCCTCTAATTCTCCGGCGATGATTAGCTCGGGATGGCAAAGTGCAGCCAGACCGTGAAAGCTACCATGCTTCCAACCAAGTAGAGAGGCTGTGCTTTCGGTCTTCGGTTCGAGGGACTGTTTGTGGGTGGTACGAGGGATCGTTCATCGACGGTTCAAGGGACTCGGAGTACGATCTAAACTGACACATTCTTCTTCCGCTGCAACTCAGTGACGGTAACTATCGTGATCCCAATCCATTATGCATCTTCATATTGATCTTGGGTGATCGTACGTGTGATTTTTTTTTTGCAGTACAGGCTCCACCACTTTCACATTGATGACCAGTAGAATATACGTCTTATTTGAAATGAAGTGTGTCATTATTATAGGGGAACGTGCTACACAAAAAAACTATGTACATGTTTGCATAGAAAACACTATGAAGATGCGGGTAATGGTCACGCTCACTAACTAGAACATTGTGGAATCATAGTAGATTATTGATGAAACTTGATGATTCTCGCAGATAGGCTAAACCTCCTAGCCGCAATAATTTCTCCACATGATCGCCGATCAGCGCGTACCAATCTAGAGGTTCAACAACACTTATTGGATCAACATAAACAATTACCGGAAGAACTAGAGGGAGGAGAGGCTAACTAGCGGTGTCCCCATCTACATCAATTAGACGAGAGGAAGGAAGTAGGGCACGGGGCAGCGGTGGTGGGGGGAGGGGAACTTCCGAAGGGTTTGATGTGTTCTAAGGGGTCTTTCACACACACACACACACACACACACACACACACACACACACGCACGCACGCACGCACGCACGCACGCACACACACACATTCGTTTGGTGGTTTTACCACATCTTCTAGGAGCCTAGCAGGCCACACATTTGCATTTTCTGGAATAAAAATGGCAATAACCTCCATCTTTGTGACTGGGTCTTTGTTCCCCGGTGTATGGAAGTCATATTCTTTCCACGCATAAGGCCTAAACATAAATTCAAGGGCACATATAGTTCATTTCAGCCCATTTCTTGCAACTAATTCATGTACCTGCTATTAAAATTTAAATAATATCTATTAAATGCCTAAATGCACTTAATGGCTTAAATATAACTAATGCACCCTAAAACATGCCAAATTTCAGTATGGAATTTGTAATGGTGTATACTGAGTATAGAAAAAGTTTAAGGCCAACTAATGAATCAAGGGCCACTTTGCATGCAAACCTAGTTGATTCCCTCTCGAAACTTAGTTTCTTCCTCGGAGATGGTCCGATTGTAAGAAGTATGTATGAAAACTTTTGCCAAGCATTCTCAAAGTTTTACCACATCTTCTAGGGGCCATATCATGACACAATGCCAAGTCTCGTGATTTCTTGGCCTAGTTTGCATTTTCTATATTTAAAATGGCAACAACCTCCATGTCGGTGGCTGTTTCTTGTCCCCCTGGTATATGGAGGTCCTGTATCCTTTACTTGCCCAAGGAATAAACATAAACTCAAGGACACAAGTAGGATTTTTCAACCTATCTCTGGTGACTATTTAATTTAACTATAGTTTGAATTTGAATTATATCAATTAAATACCTAGAAATGCATTTAATGGCTTAAATATAGTGAATTGGCCATGAAAATTGCCAAATTTTAACATGAAACATGTAATCGTGTGTTGAGAGTGGAAAAAGTTTGAAAGCCAACAACCTCTAGATGTCATATCATGAAACAATGTTAAGTTTCATGATTTCTGGCTTTGTTTGAATATTTTAGAATTAAATAAGCACTAAACTCCATGTTCGTGCCTGAGTCTCGGCCTCTGGTGGTTGGGACTCCTCTTCTTTCCTTGCATGTTGAAAAGAGAAGAAGCAAAAGAAAGATAAAAGTAAATAGAAGAACAAAGCAAAGAAAAGAAAATAAAACAAACAATATAGTTAGTACCTTTTCCCATAGTTTTTCTCTGCCTAGTGTTAGGCTGTTTATCGAGTTTGACTTAGCATGGGTGCTCGTATTTTCTGAATTTAATCTATGATTTTCGATGCTATTCTATTAAATATGGTGGCTTCATGAGTCTTATGGTCTTTTGGCTCCATCTCTCGAAAGTTTCTCATAGCAGTATATTATATGTGCTTTCATGGACTGTACGTATGTGTAATGATGATCATATGCATTTTGTACTATGTATCTAAAATACACAAAGAAAAATATACCAAAATATGGAAAGAAAAATCCAAATGATAAGTGACACACGAAGTAACACCGCCTTGACATTTTTATAGTTAAAATTGCCATAAAAAACACACAAAACAGATTGAAATTTGCCATCCAAACAAAATATTGTCATGCTTTACAACTAAAATTGGCATCCTTACATAACTAAACTTACCATTAAGAAATGTCAGGGCGAAATTGTTTCGTGCCACACAAGTAGCACTTATCGAGTTCAAGAAAAGACAAAGCTGGCAGCGCCTCCTCACGTCCACCACTCCCCATATCTATCTATCTTTTCTACTGTTACTTAAAGAAAAAAATCTATCTATTCTACTGTCCTCATCAACCTTTTCCCATGCAATTTTTTTGGTTAAGTCTTAGTGGACTGCTATCTAGTAACACCCAAGAAAAATAGACATACTAGAAAATGGAAGGAAAAAACAAAAGTTGGCAGCTCCTCCTCCTCACGGCCACCACTCCCCATATCTATTCTCCTGTCGTCGTCAACCTTTCCCCCTCCGAGTTAGCTTGTTCATCGGTAATCCACCCACATCAAGATCTCCCCAAATTCCACACCAAACCCTATCTATCTACCAGTCCATCCCGTACATCTTCTTCCATCGAGGTCGAGCCTTCCACCCATTCATGGCGTCCACCACCAGTGGCAGCCTCCCATCCTCTCCCTCACTCCCGGGCACCGGCTCCGAACAAGAATTCTTCTCCGTCGACCCCCACGGCCTGTTCCTCCCTTCATCCCCCTCCCCCGCCAGCCTGTTCGACCACGACTCCTCCTTCCAAGGCTTCTTCCCCACATCCTCCCCCACGCGAGCAACAGCGACTCCACCTCACCCTACGGCCCCGTCAAAGCAGACCAAGAAGCGCCCCAGAGCCTCCCGCCGCCCACCCACCACCGTGCTCACCACCGACACCTCCAACTTCCGCGCCATGGTACAGGAGTTCACCGGCTTCCCGGCGCCACCATTTGCCGCCGGACCGTCCCCGTTCGTCCGCCCGCGGCTCCTCGGTGGCGCCTCCGCCTACGGGCCCCCCTTCCTGGTACGCCCGTGCCCTCTCAAATACCCGCAGCAAAACCCTGCACTGCTGTCCTCCATCGGCACCGGCACCACCACCGGCGGCCGAGCCAACTCTCTCATGCACGCGCTCGCGCTGTTGGCGAGGAGCAACGCGATGCCAAGTACCCCCGCTGATGTTACGGCGAGAGGATCAGGTGCTGCTGATCAGTACGGCGGCCACCACGGCCACGGCATGGGAGATTTCAACTACAACCCGTTTGACGACTTCGAGACTGAGACTGCGGCAGCGGCAGCGGAAGGCGACAAGGCGGCGAACGGCGACCATGCTGGGTTCTTCTCTTCCTTAGGCGGCGCCGGAGATAAGTACGACCGGCACTAGCTAGTACTTACGTATCTCTGTCTCTCTCTCTCTCTCTCTCTCTCTCTCTCTCTCTCTCTCTCTCTCTCTCTGATGAGCGTGCTGAGCGGTCTTTGTGTAATGTGGATGGAAATTGAGATGGAGGAACAACTTTTGATACTCTATTGGCATTTGGCAGGTTGCTTAATTGTTAGTTCCTTTGACACAAAATGTGAGTTTATAAGTTGATTGATGGTGATTTTTGGTGCAAATTAATAATTAATTGAAGTAATACATGCATTGCTTCTTGCATGATTTACAATTCTTACAATATCTATTATGTATATATTGTAAGGTGGTTTGTTCGGTTTCCATCGCTAGCCAAGGAATTGTCCTTGTCAAGATGAGATGAAATGATCCAACACCTCTCCTTAGTCATGGAGAAGTGTTGAAATGATCCAACACTTTACTTTTCTGCTTAATTTGGATATATTCCATACCATGGGGAAAAAATTGCTAGACTTAGAGCATCTACGGATGAATAGGCTGACACTAACTTATGGAGCAAATCTACTGTTAATAAAAAGTTCATGTATTTCGTAGCTTTTCTTTGTAAATGATATTTGTTGTGAATCAAAATGGATGCATTTTTTAGGGAAACAACCGGGCTCTGCTGCGTATTTTTATTAACAAAATGGATGCATGACCGATGTTAATTATTACGTTGTGTCCCATTTCCTTTTGTTGAATTATTACCTTGATGTTGTTTCTTGTTGACTTCAGCAATGAAGCCTTCCTTTTTTTCAGGGGGAAAGGCAAGCTCATTGGTCTTCTCTTTGTAATAATCGGACAAATGTAAAGTAATATGCATGGTATATAAGTTTGAGTGATCTTATTCTTCGTTATCCCGTATCAGCATGATGATTTTGTTCCACACACACACACCAAAATGACGGATTTATGAAGAACCAACTAGTGAAAATCGAACTATACAAACTATACGGAGGCTAGGTGGACAGGAAATTTAGTTCTCGTGATCACAAATAGATTAATGTGTTCACTGTTTTTCTTTTCAGATTCTATTTCTTTGAAATGTACACTACACATGCTGCAATAATTTGGTTCAGGCTCGAAAGCATTTTTTTTATTGTGAACTGCTAATTGTTTATGACTTCATTACTGAGAGGTAATTATAAATAATTATTTTATTACATATATCATAACTCTATTCAAATTAAACAAAATATATAATGCATAGTAAAATTTAATTTAAATACAACTCGCATTGCTTTGTATGTCCATTTTTTTTTTCAATTATATATTATTTTCATAAGTTAATTAACGGACATTCATTTAAGCCAAAATCATTTGTACGAGAATCATTTTTTAACCATGAGAAATCAAGTGATCACGAGTTCATGACTATATGGACTATCAGTCTATCACTGGAAGTACTGGTAAGCCAGTACTATAGCATCTATCTAATCGAGAAATTAAGTTATTGTGTTCATAGTTTTTTTTTTTTTTTGCGGGGAGTGTTCATAGTTAAATGTACATCTGTTTAAATTGTAAATGTACTTCGAAAGACGCATAACTGTCTGCTACATATACTAAAGTATTTAATGAGCGTACTGTGCGTCATCATGTGTGCATATGTAAAATTGTTAAAAGGTCGATGTCCTTATATATTGTACCAACCTTTTCTCTGTCCTCTTGACATTTTTTTCTTTTTTAATCACATATACAGTATATAGTACAGTACATATAATAATACTCTACTAAAGGAATTAAAAGGTTCATGTAAGACAAATGCATCATAATGACTGTCTCTCCTTTTTAGATAAAGGGTGTAGTATCAAAATGATTCTCGTACCTATTTACTTATTATAAAATTTTAGCACAATCTTTAGTTCTATTTTTTCATGTATAAAGCTGCTCGGATCATAGAGCGTACTGCAAGGAGCCAAATTGGTGAAATGATCTTTTGTACCTGAAATGATGAAGAATATGTTGATCTTCTTTCAGTTGGAGAAGTCAAAGCTGGCGGCAAGTGGATGGTCTGCCTCCATTTCTTCACCAGAACTCTATATTATATGTATATATCAGCGATTCATGGCTAAACGCCAGACAGGGTATGTGATTATTCAGGAAAAATGGTACTCCCCCCTTCCAAAAAAAAAACACCTATCGTGGTTTTAGTGTAATTTGGAGAACTCAAAGCTAGGGCCAAGTGGATGGCCTGCCTCCATTTCTTCACAAGTCATTATATCTACATATCAGCAATTCATGGCTAAAAGCCTGGCGTGGTATGTGATTGTGCAGGAAAAACGGTACTCCCTCCGTTCTTAAATACTTGTCGTGGTTTTATTTACATGGAAATGACAAAAGTCCAGAAAATATTGCTACCACACACACACGGGCATGTGTCGACCCAAAGAGGGGAAATTAGAGGGATCATTACTGGTCACTTTTCTGATATATTATCTAAATGTGAAGATTTTAGCTTGAATCCATTATTTTCATCTAGATCATACCTTCACGGGTACACATGAAATTTCTAATTCCGCTCGTCCGCAACACCCTTGTGTGGTGGCGAGGCAGGCCTCTTCCTCCTTCGCCCACACAGCCTCCTCTCTAACCCCCCCGCCTGTGTGCGCCGTCTGGCAAAACCTGGTTGGTTTGGACGGCAGCGGGGCTCTCTTGCTCCCCTCGCAAGGTGGCGGCGGCAAAGGGCATGGATGGCCTGCAGAAGGCACCGGACTTAATGTGGGGAATGATGGCGGGGATAGATCTGTGGTGGTTGTGTGATGGTTCCTACTGGGGCCTGCCTGTGGCAGCAGATCGAACTACTGCCGGATCTAGCTGCGGCCGGAGGTGGGTGGTGTAGGCTAGCTCTTGTGGCTGTTCTTCGCGTGGTGGCGGTTGGCAGCGGTGGTGGTGGCTGGTGCCGATTGGTCATGGTGGCGTGGTCGCTTGCGGCTGGCGGCGGCGGGGCTCCCCTCTCTCAGCAGGCACGCATGTCATGGGTTAGCGCTTCTGTGTGAAGGTTGTGGAGGTGAGCGCTGCCGAGGTTGCCCGGCTACCGGAGGTGCCGGTCCCTAGGTGGCTCCCCGTTGAGTTCTAGATGGCCATATCTAACAAGGCCCTGTTTGTCGCATTTTCTAGTGGTGCTGCCAACCGCGAGCCCTGGTCCTGCCTTGTCGAGGAAGAGATTTTCCCCACATGCAGGCCATAGTTGCTAGTTGGGTAGCTTTGGCGGCGGTGGTACCTGGATATGACCCCCCTTCAGTCGGTCATGTGATGGGATCTAATGGTTGGTGGGAAGGTATATGCTTCCCCTCTGGACGGTGGCGGTAACGTGTTTTAGCGCTAGCGGGACATTTGGAATGGGAAGTCGGGGTTGCGACATTTGGTGTCGTTCTACTTGGTGGGCTCTCTGGCGGGTCTCCGGTTTGCGATGGTGGTGGTACTTCTTGGCTGTGTGGGTAGCGACAGGTGTTGTAGTGGGTGGCCCTGGCGCCTTTTGTGTTATAGCTGCGGAGGGGCCCTCAGATGGATCTGCAGGTGTCGGCTTAGCCGCGGCGGTTCATTGTGGTCCTTTGTGGCACGGGGAAGCAACCGAGCGAAAACTCTGCGCTCAGGCGCCGACGATGACGATGCCCATGGGTGCCGCATTCCTCTTGAGGACATTGTCGCGGTTTCCCTTCTCATGTCAGGGTTCCAAGTGAAAACCCTTGTCCACTCCGTCAGACGCGTGATTGGCAACGCTTTCTGCCCTTTCCTCTTGAGGGTATGGCCGTGAACTCATGTGGCGTTAGTCGTGTTGTGGTGTACTCTTTAGGCCCTTCTATATCTTGCTCGACGGCGTCACCGTTTTGATGTATGTTGTCAGGTTTTTTCCAAGGTTATGCTTCTTTGACGGCTTCCTCCCCACCATATATTGTTCAACGGTGTACTTGTGTTTTATATTGTATCCATAAAGCCTTGTTCATGATATCATAATATTACATATCCCGATTCAGAATAAACACAAGAAGCTATGTGAGCCGATAAATATATTGATGTAATTAAAAGTGTAAATGTAATTCCAAATAATATGATAAATAAATTATATGTCATATCCATCTCTCCTTTGTATCTGAACATGTACGCTTATAAGTGTGCAATCTTTACATCTTTTTTTACAACAGAGTTACCTCTCCTAATCGATGTGTATATGCCACTGTCTCGAGGCATGTAAACCCTTCCTAATCTGTGCATCTGCTTTTCGCGAGTTATCATACGTGCTACACATGTAACGTTCTGAACAGTGCATCTGCAAAGGTGTCCTCCATGCCAAAGATATCCATGATTGCATCATCGTCTAACATTGTTTGCCACATACATCTGTCTGCTACATATGGTCTCCCCTGCCTTATCTACTCAGAAGGAAAAAAAATAGCTATGAATGAATGACTAAGAAATATCTTCTTCTTTTTTTTGCGGTGAATGACTAAGAACCTCGCACCGAAGGATATATTTTACAAAGCTTTTCACACGGGAAGTGAGCTGCGACGTCATGCATGATTCATACGTTAATAACATAGCTTAAAAGGGCTAATAACATAGCTTAAAAGGATTCTGCGTATGCCCTCATTGGTTACGAAAAGAAAGTCTGTCATTTTTGTTTGGACGTAAAGACACACATTCTCATTAGTACAACTGTACAAGTATCAAGCAACGCCAACAAACTAAGCCTGAAAACATTTCTGCCGCCAGGTAATTGGCCTCGGATATTTCCTTTTTTCTTTTTTCTTAAATATATAAGCCGATTCTTTGGGCATCTATGCTTGGCTTTGCTTACCATTATTGAATATTTGCCTGCAAACAAATATAAAATGTTTTAGAGATTTGTGTCAAATCTTTAAAACATCATATATTTGTTTACATAGGAGGCAATAAATAATACTCCCTCCGTCCCATAATGTAAGATGTTTTTTGACACTAGTGTAGTGTTAAAAAATGTCTTACATTATAGAACGGAGGGAGTACATTGTATGATT